GCTTACATGAGCTAGCTGCAGGTGTTTAATTGCAGTGTAGACATACCCTATGTGGCTGGTGAAGGTAGCTTGCTTTCTTGGTGTTTTAATAATAATAATAATAATTTATGGAGATATCCCATCTCCTAGAACTGGAAGGGACCTTGAAAGGTCATAGAGTCCAGCCCCCTGCCTTCACTAGCAGGACCAAGTACTGATTTTGCCCCAGATCCCCAAGTGGCCCCCTCAAGGATTGAACTCACAACCCTGGGTTTAGCAGGCTAATGCTCAAACCACTGAGCTATCCCTCCCCCCTAATATATATGATTGGGTCCACACTTGGAACCAATAGTATTTGTAACAAGTTGTTCGCCCAGCTTTACTGGGGAAGAGCCATAAAGAAATTTATATTTCCCTGAACTGTGCCTGCCAGGGACTGAGAACACCGGCACCTGCCGTGTCATAAAGAAATGAGAGCGAGACTAATTATGTATGCTATAATGGGCTTGCATTTTGGATAAAAGCAATATTAGGTTTTGCTCCTACACAGTACCTAAAGCTGTCCCACTTCATAATGTACTTTTTATTTAAAACGGATTAAATAAAATTAAGGGAAAGCTTGGAACACTGATCAAGCAACAATTCTTACATTTAAATATAATTCAAAATCCCCATACTAGTGTCAGGTTGCAAGAGTTAGTAGTATTAGCATTGTGACAAAGTATCAGAAATAACAGTCGTTACTAGCACCCCATTATCTATAAATTTCCAGGATTATCACACTGTCACTCTAAAGCCTAAAATGTCTGTATAGTTAGTGAAACAAGATGAGTGAGGTAATATCTTTTATGGACCAACTTCTTGTGGCAAGAGAAACTTTTGAGCTTACAGAGTTCTTCTGAAGTTGCTCCAGTAAAATATATTACTTTGCCCACCTTGTCTCTCCAATAGCCTGAGACCAACACAGCTACAACACCACTGTATGTGCCGTCAGTTTGAAGCAATGGAAACCGCTACAAAGCTGTATGTAGGTTGAGAGCTTTTTTGGTTCAGACTATCACCAGGCTGAATCATCACTAGGTTTCATCGTCTGATACCATCCAATTATTAATTTTTCAGCCATTTTGACTTTCTGATTACACTCAAAGTATACAGCTACAGTAAGGTATGCATTTATGCTATACCAAGAGTCCTAGACCATAGAAATAATACAATCAACACCCTTATTCTCTAGCTAATTTGCATGCAACTATTTCATTGGTTGCCAGAGGGAGACTCCACAGATGGTGGATTATATGGCCCAACTGCCATAGTTCTTCAAAACCACCACAACCAGCACACAAAATAACTCCAAACACACATAGCCCCTCACAACATCACACACCCTTCATTTGCCACCCACACACCAACACAAATCTTATGGGATTCTCTCTCTGTGTTACTCTGAAACCTGCAATGTCTATTGAGTCAGCATGAAGCGATGGAAACAGCTACAATCATGGTTAAGTGCTCTTTTTGTTCAGAATAAGACCAGGTTCAGCCATCACTGGGCCATACAGGAATCAGGCGAAATGTTAGAATCCAAAGGTTCTGTGGCAATTGAAATGTGACAGCTGGTCAGAGAAGAGGAGAACAACAGCTATGTGGGTTAACAAACAAGTGGCTGTGCCTCCAGTCAGATAGCAACTCTGTGCACAAACAACAACATTGCTCCCTACAACATAGCACATGGAAACAAGAGCCCCAAAATACTAGCTCTCTATATTATTTCCTGTTCACTAATACGCACTGCTTTGCACAGTGTTAGCATATTTAACATTACTGTGGTTTGTGAACGTCTTTGTGAATGCGTTTCCTGCTATGGTGTTTGGTGCAATAGTACACAGACACAGTGGTGTGAAGGTACAATAAGTACTGGAGTTATCTGATTCCAAGCCACACAGAATGTGCAGAAGTGAAAAGAAGTTCCCGTACATACTGCTATATAGTGGCACTGTTACCAGTACGACTCTAAGCTTTGACCATGGAAAATATGTATATTAATTTTTCAGTAACATGTGGCATATTGAGACCGGCTTTTATATAAAGCTTTTAGTGGTACTTAGGATGACCTGCATAACTTGCTCTAACTGGTCTACTCATGCATGTATGTTTATTGAGATGTGATATAAATTTTATGTAGTTTCCAATAAAGGCACTGTAGGGATTGATTACTAGTTTCAATTTCATAGGAGAATCTTTCCCTCAAACAGTTCTAAAAAGTTAGTTTTGATGCTGTATATCAAGTGACATTCTGTCCCTAATGCTGCTTTCTAGGGCTTTCCACATCAGTTGACTGTAACCTTATGTTCAGTATTACTTTTGGGGCTTTTATTAAAACTTATAACTCCTTAACAATTCTCTTTATGGTAGTTTAGGTTAAGGGACATGTCTGCATGTGGTTTTTTTAAATGTCATTGACATTCCTGGGGACAGCTACAGAACACGTGCATTGCTGGGAAAGCACGTACCATCATTGCTGTATCTGAATCCTGACTTGGATAGATCACTTTCTGTTCCTAGTTAGTGATCACTGCAAGACAGCCAGTTGCAGTCTTTCGGATGCAGACATTTTGTCCACTTGCAACTGGACTAAGACAAGCAATAACCCTTACAAAATCTTCCAACCCTCCCAGTATGGGTAGGCACTTTTACTTGCATGGACCTCACAGTAGTGACTATATCTCAAGGATTTTTAAAATAGGTAGAAATTACAGACTTGAAGGAAGATAGATATTGTAGGGAAAATAATCTGATTAGTTTATAGGGTTTGGGGGCATGTGTGGGTGTGAAGAACTTTATTGTGGCGGGAGGAGGGACAACTATTGGGGAGTTGGGGGGTGAAAATGTCTCAGTTTCAGTGCCAAGAGGGAGACAAGACAACCAGCAACAAATTGACCAGGATGGAACCAAGCCAGTTAGCCGTAAGGAGAATTGACAGAAATCAAAAGTCTTTTATGACCTTTCCACTTAACTGAAATCTTGAATGACCTTTTCCCCTGGCCAAATCCCAGAGCCTCTACTGAGTTCTTCAACCTTTTGACCCCATTGACTGCTTACTACTACTAAAAACCCTGTCCTTGATTATCTTTCCAGGTTACTTTCTCTCTTGCTTATTTTTCTGTCGCCCTCTTTCAGAAGGCTATTGGGGGAAGAGAAAAAAACAATACTAGGAAAATAAACTATTGTTTCTTACTGAGAATACATTGATACTGTTAAGTAAAAATTGTTCACGGTTGCATACCAAAAGGAGCTTCAGTGATTAAGATCTTCTATAATGAACCAACTTAAACCAGTGTTTATTTTAAAAAACAACAATACTGTCAACGTTTCAGCCAAATCATATATTTGTCTTATGACTTGCAACCAAATCATAACTGAGATGAGACTTCTCTAGGGAAAGTGCACATGTTGCAGGAAGTGGTATTATTGAAGCAGTGTGTTAATGAATCAGTGTTATATTTTTTTCTGAGTCAGTAGTGAACCATTTCTTTAGTATAGTGTGCTTTTCTGGTAGTTTCCTTTTTCTGGATAAAATACAGCACAGAAGTCCTGTCTACTTGTGATTATCTTAACCATTCCCTACTGTTGCAAAAATTGGTTAATTGATTTCTTTATATATTCACCCCCAACTCCTCAGTAGTGTGTGTGTAAAATAAATATATATAAATAAATGCTATATTAAGTTTTTGAACAAAACAGCTGTGTGCTGCTAAACAGTTGCCTTGTGCCATCCATAGGTAACTCCGTTACAGTAGTGGGTGAAGTAATTTGTGTGTGTATAATACCTTGTGCTCATTTTGGATGAAAAGTGCTATAAATTTGTAAATGGCTGGATATTAATTGCATAAAAAATAACTTGTCTAATAGTGTGACAGGGTTTCTGGGGTGAAACCTGGACTGTGGGACCACAGAGGCCTCTGTCCCACCAACCTGGGATATTCTCTCCCCCCCCCCCCCCCCGATGCTGTGTCAGGCCTCAAACCTCTTGCAGGTACTGCCCTTACACAGACATTCATAGGCAGGAACACACCCAACTGAGTTACACTCAGCCATTTGTGAACCAACGGAGAAGCTGCAGCCAATTCCCCCTAGCTAGCTCCCCAACTTTGCATCCCAGAACTATACTGTCTTGCACTGGTCAGAAGCCTGGCCAGTGCAAGTTCATTACCCAGTCTGTCCCTCCCTTGATGTAGAGAGAACACTCCATTAGCTCTTGTAAACTGAGCTGAGATTTTCCAAGCACTTCAACCAAAACACGTTGTTTTAGGTTAAATATAAAACACATTTATTAACTACAGAAAGATAGATTAAGTGATTATAAGGAGCAGGCATAGAAATCAGAGTTGGTTATTTAAGAAACAAGAATAAATTCTCATCCTGACAGATGGTACAAAAAAGGTCACAGATCCTCAATACACAGGCTGGGATTGCCTTCCAGCATGGGACCACCATTCCCCAGTTCAAAGTCTTTCCTCCAGATGTGTTTCCAGGTGTTGTGTGGTGGAGGGAGTGAGGTCCAGTGATGTCACTTCCCCTCTCTTTTTTATAGTTTCTTCCAGCTTACTGGAAAGACCTTTTTGCTGACATGGGGATCAGTCAATTTCCCTTTGGTCAAGCAGTCTCCATTGTCTAAGTGTTCTCTCTGGGAAGTCTCCATTGTACACAGTTCCTGGGATAGTGGATTCTTTCCTTGATGGGTATTGATGAGCTGAGCCATTAACCACTGTCTGGCTACTCCATTGTTGTACCTGAAAGGCTGGCTGTGGGTGTTCCCAACCTCACAACATATTTTAGTAACACACACACATAGCAAAACTTCATAACTTCACATACAATGATAGTACATACAGTGGTGAATATGGAGGTTCTAGGGTGCTGCTCTGGGGTAGAGTGTTACAAATGGTAAGTCTAAGATTTTAGTGGCTGGTAACCTTATTTTTTTTTTCTCTGTTTAAAATTACTTCATTGCTTATTAACAGGTGAAGCCAAAAATTTAGTGCCATACTCTGGACCCAACAAAATGAGAGACTGTTTCTGTACCATAAACTTGGACCAAGAAGAAGTTTTTCGTACACAGGTGGTTGAAAAGTCTTTAAGGTACATCTACATTTTTAGACTTAAGTTTCTGTGAAATAACTTCAGCATTGTACGAGATATATTATCTTTTTTTTTTTAAACTGTAGTTCTTATGTGCCCCTTTCTTCTCTACATAATACAAAATATTTGCCTAGCTCTGTTTTTCATTCTTCTTGTTTGCTGAGTAGTATCCCATCTACTGTGTGTCTGGTGTATTGTGTTTTTTAATGAGTTGAGGGCTGTGATCTGGACAAAACTGTCTGACTTGTAAATCTTGAGAGTAACTAAAATGAAAACAACTGGTTCAAAAGCACTGCACATGTATTTAAAATAAAGAAATGCCTACTATATTCTGAAAATCCTTGCACAACCAACTTCTTTTGGTTAACTTAACATTCTTCTTCAGGATATTTTCAAGAGAAAGAGGGCTGCCCTTGTTCTTTGGTCTCTTCTTTTACTATTTCTGCCTTCTGTATTCATTATTCAGCCTTCAAAGTAGAATTCTAACAATAGTATCTGAATCCTGCAGAACCTGTTCCTAGAGTACAGGAGTTCAAATTTTCCCACTCAATCTTCAGTTTTTTTGTGATATCTCCTGATTTGATATTGAGATCACTCTTGAAAATCTTGTTTCTTGAACGTGTAACTTATGCTAACATAGTATAGTTCTGTAGTGGCTAGACCAGCCACTTTTCCCGACAGAAGTTACATTGGCATAAAGTTGCTGTGGTTAGTATATCACTTGTGTGCATACCTACTTGGCTTCTTTCATCAGCACGCTGCATACTCACCAGTAGTTTGTTTTGGTGCACAGTGTAGTGCACTATGAGTTGATATCCTAGTGTAAAACTTGCCACCATGCAGCATCCTCTTTTGGCAATGCATGGTGGGGCAGAAACAAGTCGTGTAGAGGTGACTAGGACAATGGGGTCAAGTTCCCATCATGCAGCTTTCTCCACCCCATAATACCATCTCTATCCCATAATTTTCAAGTGTATTTAGAAAATCCTGCAAACCTGCGAAGGACTTGTCACCCTTTGCCATTTCTTACAGAAGCATGGAGCTTGCACAGCGCTGCACTCTTGTCCTGAGTATTGCAAGCATAGGACACATGATTGTCTGGTATTTGGAGAGCTGCAAGAAGAGCCACGGGGAACATGACAATTTCCTGGAGGTCAGATTGCTGTGAGACAAAGCGAGGACCAATTCATGATTGTTGATGGCATTCATGGAGCACCTGTGAACAGTGGATCACTGCTTCTGGGCCCGAGACACGAACCCTGACTGGTGGGTTTGCATTGTAATGCGGGCTTGGGATGACAAGCAGTGTGCATACTGCTGGGGCTGACCTGAACTGCAGTGGAGTCTCAAATAGGTCCTGATTCATGGCATGGCTGGGTTTTCCTCTCCCCCCCGTCGCATGTCCCACTGCCTCTTCTTTGCTGTTCACATCAGGGGCCTGTGACTTAGGCTTCTTGGAGGTATCCACAACCACATGCAGGCTTTCTGCCAATATGGCATGTAGTTCTTTGAAAAATGGCAGATCTGCAGCTTGGCACTTGATCAACTGTTGGCTTTACTGGCCTTCTGGAATGCTGCCACAGTTCCTTTGCTTTCACATGGTGGTGCCATGATGATCCCTGTCATATCCCTTCTCCTGCATCTCTTGTGCAGTTTGCTCATAGATTTCTGCATTTCTGTGGATATGTTTGTTCTGTAGTTGTTGCATAGCCTCTTCAGACAGGCCCAGGAGATCCAATATCTCCTGTCTACCCCAACCTGCAGTGCATCTGGAGTGTGTCAACTGGGCAGTTGTGCACAACAATGGAGAATTGCTAGTTGTGCTTGCCAAGCTGTATAATCACAAAAAGGCACTTCAAAAATTTTGCAGAGCTTTAAAGGGGGGGAGGCACCTTCTGGTCTCTGTGACCCCTGGCAGTCAAGGTCACCATTGTGACCAGAACAGTCAGTGTGAGGCATTGTGGGACAATTGCTGGAGGACTATTAGGCATGGTGTTACCTCTGTCAACCCTACGTTTGCACTTCATCGACCTCCATATATCCACCATGGCTCAACGCCACTCAGAAGTGGGGTTACTTTGTCAGCATAATGGAGAGCTTACATTGATGGGAGACACATTTAAGTGTAGACACGTGCACAACTAGGTCGACCTAAGGCAGCTTATGTTGACCTAATTTTATAGAGTAGACCAGGCCTAGGTAAAGTTCTCCTAGTTGCTATATACACTGGAAATAAGCTTCTGAAATCTTGTCACCAATGTTGAAACATAGTGAATGTGCACATTTCTATTTGTTTATATATACACGTATACAATAAAGGTTTATAGCCATTCTTTAAGTCCACTGGAACTGTACGAGTTCAGCTGTATTGGCCATGTCAAAACCTTTACAGATTCAGTGCACTTAAAAACAGAGCTTTTCTATGTTAACTTTTATAAGAACATTTATATGGTGGTATCCGAATCTTGTATCTCTTTAGTAAAAAGAGAGTTCTCCTTTTTAACCTCTTAAGATAACTACATTAATGAGACCCATTAGTTCCATAGTACAGTTGTGAAGGAGCACTCTACTCGCTGCTGGATGACACCTCCTCCTGCTCATTCTGGGGATTAGTGTTGCAAGGTCAACTCCCCTTCCTGCTGTTGTACTCGATCTCTCTGTCTGCAGCCCCTTTCTTGGTCCATGAATTACTACTCTTCATGTTTCAGCCCTACAGCCAGGTCACTGTATGCATTTCCCCCTTCTGGGATACCAAAGTCTGTCTTCTCAACCCAGGCAGTCTTTTCCCTTCACTGCTTCAGAGTGCCACTTCCTCGGTAGCTGGCAGGGGAACCTGGCCCCTCTCTCTCTTCTGGCTGAGGGACCTTCTAATCAGCAGCCAACATTTGTTCCCTTCTAGACCTTACTACCTTTCCCTGAGCCCTTTCCTTACCATCCCGCACCCTTCCCGTTTCTGGGTTTGCCAACCTTACTATTCCTTCCCAGGGAGCAACTGCAGGCTACTTGTCTTGGTAGCCCCAAACACTCCTCCCTTCTCCCAGGGAATCACTGCAGCCCCTCTCTATCACTCAATGGCTTTATAGAAGCCCTGCCTGTTCATACACAGGTGAGCTTCCTCCAATTAGGGATTTTCTCTCAGCCTTAATTTTCCCAGCTTGCAGCCCAATAGGTAAATTGGCCCATCTGAACACTCCATCACAACAATATCCATAAAATTACATATAAAAGTAGTGTGTTTGTGTGTACACAGACACACACACACACAGACACACACACACACAGACACACTTAAATTCATAATGGTACTGAAACCAAATGACTCTTAACTAGATTAATAGCAATTGGCACTTAAATCTTATTGATGTATAACATTGTAATATAATTTTCATTTAATTTTTTTTTGAGAAAGAACTTAGGATCTTGGATACCCACTGAGTATTTCTCCAACACACAACTTGTATTCATAAAATGGAAAAACTTCCCTAAAGGGTTAAGATGGTTACTGTTTCAGTGGAGTCTTTTTTGGTGTCTATTTGTAGTCTGTACAAATCTATGAAATGCCATAAAACAAGCTATGTTCTAGCAGCAAATGAGCTAAAGTGGGATGTATGTTGTTAGACTATTGGTACATGGTGTGAAGCTTTAGGTAAAAAGTCTACACTCTTGAAGCTTGCCCCAATAATCTACTAATGCACACCCTATTGTGCCTTATTGCTATGCTAATTTAGAATACCAAATTAAATCAGAAAAAGGCAAACTTGCCGTTCTGTGTTGTACTAGTATTTATTAATTGACCTAATTCTTCCCAATTCTCAGCATAGATCGGGGCGGGCAAAATTTTTGGCCGGAGGGCCGCATCGGGTTTCAGAAATTGTATGGAGGGCGGGTTAGGGGAGGCTGCGCCTCCCCAAACAGGCAGGCGTGGCCCAGCCCCCACCCCCTATCCGCCTGCCCCCGCTTCTCGCCCCTGATGGGGGGGCCCCCCACTGAATCTCTGCCCCATTCACCCAGCTGCTCCCGGACCCCCCTCGCCCCTAACTGCTCCCTGCTGCTCCATCCAACCCTCTCCCTCCTTCCTGAATGCTCCCCTCCCGGGACCCCTGCCCCATCCAACCACCCCTTCTCCCTGACCGCCCCCAGAACCCCCACCCCTGACTGCCCCCAGCTGCCCCATGCAACCCTCCCCCTCTTTCCTGTTCTCCACCCTCTGACCACCCCCCGAACTCCCCCTGCCCTCTACCCAACCACCCTCCCCCGCTCCCTGCCCCCTTACCGTGCTGCCTGGAGCACCGGTAGCTGGTGGTGCTGCTGCACCATGAGAGGCAGCCGCACCACCCGGCTGGAACCAGCCACACACCGTGCAGCACAGAGCACCGGGTCAGGCCAGGCTCTGCAGCTGCGCTGCCCCAGGAGCTTGCCACCCAGAGTATTACGCTAGTGGCACAGTGAGCTGAGGCTCGGGGGGGGGGGGGGAACAGCAGGGGAGGGGCCGGAGGCTAGCCTCCCAGGCCACGAGCTCAGGGGCCGGGGAGAACGGTCCTGCAGGCCGGATGTGGCCCGCAGCCTCTGGCATAGATGATAGTAAATGGTGTATTAAAGTCATATTGTTAATTTTACAAACAGTACTTCAGTATATTTTACTGATTATTGTACAGATGATAATTAAACCTAAATGACAGCTTTCAAAGAAAATATATTACATGATGATACTACTTTATTTGCTTGATACATCATTAAATATGTCTCACAGGCACTTGTCCAAATTGAGGTCCTACTGTAGTAGTAACAACTAATATAAATTTATGTTGTGGAAATGTCCTCTGGTTAAACATCTCTGGAAAGAAGTTGACACTAGAATTAAGGTGATTTTTGGAACCTTCAAAAATCAGTCAAGAACTACATATTAGGATATTTACCTGTGAATTTGGGCTTATCAGTACGTGGGGTTCGTGGTTTCTGAGAGTTGGAAAAGTAAATCTGGGCACAGAACAGAACAATGACGTTCTGATCTAGCAGACAAGGAAAGGATCATGTTCTGCCGCAGGGATCAGCTACACAAGTTTGAAGAAATCTGGGTTCCATTTTTTTAGAAATAAGTCTTTTAGGGTACAGGCTTTCTTTTCTGGAAAGAGGTGAATAAATATGTTGAAAGAACTGAAATAATTCCTCTGAAATTTTAGTGCTTGACTTAATTTCTTTTAATCGCTTAAAACAAAGCCATTTGTAAATTTAACACTTGAATCTTTGTCATCATAGACCTGAACATCTGTCTCAGTAGTTACTAGTATAATATATCACTAGAATATTGTGGACACAGAAGCAAATGAGTAAACAAAACATAAAAACTCTGGAGCACCTCAAAGTTATTTGGTGAACTGGGACTGGGAACTGGGAAGGAGTGAGATTTCCCTTCATAACGTGAACATTTTGGAAAATGGGATTCTTGAATTCTGGGGAAGAGAAAAATCTCTCCTGCATGTAACTTAATTTTTTGTGCAACATTACATCTGGGTTAAAAGTTAACTTGCCACATTTTAGCAGATGTTATCTTCTATAAATTCTACAACAAAATATGTTGCTATTTACAGTTACTTTTCCCCCTTTTTTTTTTTTTTTTTCCCCCAGTCCTTTCTTTGGTGAAGAGTTTTACTTTGAGATTCCAAGAACATTCCAGTGTTTGTCCTTCTATATTTATGATAAGAGCGTTTTACAAAGAGACCTGCGTATAGGTAAGAACTAGTATATTCTGAAAATAACCTTTACTGTTGAAATTGTGTAAAAGATGTCTCTAGTCTAAAGCAGGGATGGGCAAACTACGGCCAACAGGCAAGACCTGGCCCTCCAGCCATTTTAATTTGGCCCTTGAGCGCCCAGTGGGGAGTGGGGTCTGGGGCTTGCCCCTCTCTAGCAGGGAAGCAGGGTCGGGGACTGTTCCATGTGGCTCCTGAAAGCAGCAGCATGGCCACCCTCTGGCTCCTACATGTAGAGGTAGCCAGGGGGCTCCTCTCTACATGCTGCTCCTGCCCCAAGCACCGCCCCTGTAGCTCCTATTGGCCGGGAACCACAGCCAATGGGAGCTTCAGGGGCAGTGCCTGCGGACAGGGCAGCATGTAGAGCTGCCTGGTTGTGCCTCTGCGTAGGAGCCAGAGAAGGGACATGCCACTGCTTCTGGGAGCCGCTTGAGGTAAGTGCTGCCTTGAGCCTGCACTCCTGGAGCCTCCCCCCGTGCCCCAACCTCCTACCCCAGCCCTGATTCCCCCTCCTGCCTTCCAACCCCCTCAATTCCAGCCCAGAGCACCCTCCTGCACCCCAAACCACTCACAGAATCCGTAGAATTATAAAATATCAGGGTTGGAAGGGACCTCAGGAGGTCATCTAGTCCAACCTCCTGCTCAAAGCAGGACCAATCCTGGGAAGGAGGGATAGCTGACTGGTTTGAGCATTGGCCTGCTAAACCCAGGTGAGTTTAGTCCTTTAAGGGGGGCCATTTAGGGATCTGGGGCAAAAAAAAAAAATCTCATCCCTAGCCCCACCCCAGAGCCCACACCCCCAGCCAGAGCCTGTACCCCTTTCCGCACCCCAACCACTCGTTCCCAGCCCAGAGCGCCCTCCTACACCCCAAACTCCTCAGCCCCGTCCCAGCCCTGATCCTCATCCTGCCCTCCGAACCTCTCGGTCCCAACCCTGAGCCACCTCCGACCCCCAGAATTCCTCATTTCTGCCCCCCCCCCGAGAGCCCACACCCCCTCCCACACCCCAACCCCAATTTTGTGAGCATTCGTGGCCCGCCATACGATTTTTATTCCCAGATGTGGCCCTCGGGCCAAATAGTTTGCCCACCCATGGTCTAAAGGTGCAGTGTGGGGGGTTTCGTTTTTGTGGGGGGGTTGTACAGACAATTTTATCTCAGCACACAGTTTAAAATTAATTAAAATACAGTACTATTCTATATTGGGTACAGGAGTCTGCTTAATTTTGTCCTATTCTAACTTGGCCCTTTTGGAGGGTGATAGAACAACTTAATATAATTACTCACCATATTCAGTGCATTTCAGAAAAAATATGTAATTTGCCCTTTGGTTTCTACAACTCCATGCCAACAAAATATTTGGATCATTGTTTGTATTTGGAAATATGTAGTGGAAGTACTGTTTAAATTTGCTGAAGACTTCCTAAGACATTTTAGTTTTGTCATGAAATGGCTAAAAGGTACATATGCTGCAAAATGTTTTACATGAGTAAGCTTACCTGATAAAATGAAAGGAAATGAACTGTTTTCACTGTATAATTGCCCTTTTGCCGCTGCTTTTGTGAAGACTCTGGATAAACAGTTCTTTTAACAACTCTAAGTGTTCAGTGGAAATAGTTACTTCACATTACTTGAACTGAGGAAGGAAATACTTTGTGCCAGATAATTTGGAATAATCGCTTTTGCACTGAATTGCTTTTTGAAAAAGCGATCTACCTTTAATTTTCTATTTTTAAACATTCTTCAGCACCTTTATTGTTCTCTTAAACATTAATTTTGTTTAGCATTTAAAGGGACATATTAACTTGTTTTCAAGCAGAAGTTTAATTTTACCTAGTATTGTTACTTGTCACATCCAAGGTAATGAGTGCAATTAAAGAGATACTACTTCCTCCAGTTTGTTTACTGTTTTTGTATAGTCCTTTTTCACTGTTTTCCCTACATGGGTAATTTCCCTTATTTGTTTGGGTGTTTCGTACAGCATCAAAGGAGAGCAAAGAATTTTAAAAATTATAGTACATTTGCCACTTTTTGTGTCTTAGTGTTAAACAACTTGAATTTTTTAAAGATTAGATTTTAAATTGAAGTTGTCTCTTATTAAAAGTAATACCTAATGCTTCCATGGGAAAGTCAGTTGCTTACATTATCACACTTTTTTTTTTTTCTGTAGGAAAGGTAGCAATCAAAAAAGAGGACTTATGCAAATATACCAGCAAAGAGACATGGTTTTTGCTTCAGCCTGTTGATTCTAATTCAGAGGTCCAGGTAACTATTAATGTCAAAATTAAAGAAAAAATGTTACATACATGGTAAAAGTTCTAGTTGCAGTAATATAAGTATTTTTAGGAATTACAGATTTGGGGAGCAGCTGGGTGATTTCTGTAACTTTAAGTGCCTGCTTCATTTCTAATAGTAATATCCATGCATTTCTAAAATGGATATGTTGTATTGTTTCTCATGACCGCTTTTCAAGAAGTAACATGACTGAGAGCAATCTTGGTAGGAAAATTATAGTAACTGTGTGTGTGTGTGTGTGTGTGTGTCAGAAAAATATAGTGTATTTCTTTACATTACAAATATATATTGACTTAAAAACATTGTGCAAAAGGCATGTGCTTGCAGAGAGGAGGGGTGAAGAACTGGGAAATATACAAACTTGTTTTGTTTTTTCCATTTAAGTGTCTTGGTAGTATAGCACAGTGTTAGATATATGTAATTTGAAATGGTGTTTGAAGGACCTCCGGGTTGGAGTATTCTGGCCTTCCTGTGGAATGTTTTTTAAATACCTGACACTGGGTACATTCCAAAAATAATTTTTCTCTTCTTGAGCCTAAGAGTTATGTTCCGCTGGCAGCGTTGTCTTAGCAGCACCTAGAGATGAGTTGAATTCTACTGTAAGCAGGTAAATTGCATTAGTCATCCTTTCAGTTTGATGGAGAACATTCAACAGGAGCCTCTTGAGAACCTCCTTTAGAATGTTGCTGCTGTGGTTATTTTTATGTATTAAAAAAACTTAGTACGATTTTCTCAAACTTATACAAGGGCAGGACCCACAACCCTTCAGTTAATCCTGTCAGGAGGATTAAACTTTCTGTAAAAGGGGGATCTATGGGTGAGATTTTCAAATAGGGTAGACATGTTAATGCCCAGAATTATCCACTTGTGCATTGTAATTTTACACATGTAGAATTACATTACCTGGGCATGCAGGTAGGCACAGAGTTGTGTGCCCAAACTTGTTGGAAAAATCTGTCTTTGTGCAAAGAAACGTCTGAATTAATATCATATACTATTAGAACAAATCAAAACATTGCTTAATTTAGTGTTTCATTCTCCCCCCCCCCCCCCAGTACCATGTGAGTGCTAATCAACCATATCCTTCTCCCAGAAAGCCATTCAAAATGTGGAAATGTCATTCCTTCTTTGGTTTAAGTGGGTATCGCACTTGATTCTTATTTGCAAAGAAATACATGGAACAGTAGCTTGCTTTTAGCTGTATACTCTACATGTATTAGGCAAATATGAAGCTGTTCATAAACAACTTTAGTGTATAGTGTTCTAGATACAGAAAAATAGCGAACTTTGTTCTCTCAAATAACAATGCAGGAAATGTTCACTTTTTCCAAAAGTGGCTTGTAAATGCCGCTTTTTTTTTTTTCTTATACCATCCACTCTTCAGACTATGCACTTAGCCATCTGTTCTCTGCTGTTTTCCACCTGATTCCCATCCCTAATTCTGAGTGCAGCTGGATGACATAGCACTGAAGTAGCATATGTTCCTTTGGTGTATTCAGGATACACTTTTTTGCTCTTGGGCTTTTTTTTTTTTCTCTTCTACCTTTATTAATTTAGTGAAGCTGTGCTTACCATATGCCTGATGAATAACCTAAATTTCATACAGAGGCAAAATATTGGCCATCACTAATATAACGTTAACACCTATTTAGGAAATGTCAGCAATAGAGATGCTAATTCTAATTAACTATAGAGATGTTTTGTGTTCTGGCATACATTTGCAGATGCAGAAAAACTAGATGGAGCCATGAAGTACTTAAGCTTGTTAGTAAGAAAAAAATTATCTTGATTTCTTTTGCACTACACTACCAGCTGTGCATTTTACCATTTCTGTGGGGCGTGCATTGTTTGCCACATGGTTTTTAGATCAGTGAAAATAACTATGCAAAACATCACAGTATTTCAGCAAATTTTGACAATTTCTAGAACAGCTCAAAAATATTGAATATAAACTAGAATTGGAAATATCACTGAATCCTGATAAATATTCAGTAGAAAGATAAAACAGAGAAGTGAACCACATGGTAATGCATAGCAAATGTCTTTATGAAGTAAAAAGTTCTTAAATTTGCCCTCAGAGGGGTTAATAAGACTTCTCTAAGGCAAGAAGCTAGGTGATGCTGTTAAGATAGAGACAGTAGACCTATCTGCAAACCTGTGGTTCCAATAGCTTTATGCTGTTTGGGCCACAGTGGCAATTTGGAGCACAGGAAGGTAAAAGCTCATAAAAATAAAGGCAATATCTATCTTGGTTTTTGAACTATTAAGGCTTTGGTTTTAGCCCACACATTAAAAGTGTGGTGGACAGTCCAAGTTAGTCTTGAAACACATTTGCAAGTTTGCTTTAGTTACCATTTAAATTTTCTTCTAATTTTAGGGCTTGTCTACAGACAAAAACTGTACTATACCAGTATAATTAAAACAGTACAACCTTCTGTAATATGGATCCGGTTATTCTGATATAAAAGTGTTTTGTATACTGGTATAACTACACTGGTGAAAAAGTACCCCTAACTGACAATTATTTACGGAGTTTCTGAACTGATCTCAGGCCTCTGATTCCTTTTCAGTTAACGTTAAGAACGTGACTGACTTAGAACTGCTCAGAATTTTTCATCTGAGGAAATTACTTGTTAAAGTACATTTTCATAAGGGAAAATGTCATTTTGATGAGCAATTTAAAAATATAAGCAGCATTTTTCCCCAGTTTTTGGTCACTAACCTTTTCAGAATTTTTTCCTTTTTTTTTTTTTTGCCACTGAATTTAATAGTGAATTGATGTTTGTGTTTTTTTCTTCTTTCTACTTTACAAAGTGAAAGAAACTTTTTAAAAAGGTGGAAACACTTTGAAAAGTTACAATGGAAAAAAGGAAAATGAAAGCAGAAGGGAATAAAGTGTGTTGGGGTGGAGGAAACCTGGATACATTGCTCATTTACTGCTGTCAGTGGCCAAAGGGGCGGGGGGAACACCACACTAACCTGCATCTTCAAAAATTTGAAAAAAAACCCAACAACTTGTTGCCCCATTGTGAGCACTGTGAAATGGAAACAATTTCAAAGTTTTAATTATTTTTCCTTTACTATCTCTATTTAACTAATTTGAATGGCTGCATTTTGGATGAAGTGGGGATGGCCCCTGCTACACAATTCATAGTCTCAACCGTCTTGCATGTACTGAGAGCCAAGTGTCAAAGACATTGGGAAGGGTCCAGATTTTTACCTTGTCAGAGTTCTGCAGATGGGAAGTAGTATTATAAAAATGTTCTTAGGTTCTTCCCGTACCCTCACTCAGAAACAAATTTGCTGGAATGCAGCGCAACTGAAACATTGTGCTTCTGAATGAAATTCACTAGCCTTCACATACAGTGCTTAGATCTCCTGGAGAAAGGGAAGTTTGAACACATGCGCCAAGTCTGCTTGCAAGCCTGGCTTGGATGTACAGAAGAACCTCCGTTACGAACACCAGAGTTATGAAATGACCAATCTGCCACACACCTCGTTTAGAACCGGAAGTATGCAATCAGTCAGCAGCAGAGACAAAAAAAGCCAGTACAGTACTGTGTTTAAACCTAAACTACTAAAAATCAATAAATAAAGGGAAAGCAGCATTTTTCTTCTGCATATTAAAGTTCCAAAGCTGTATAATGTGAATGTTCAATTGTAAACTTTTGAAAAAACTATAATGTTCAGAGTTAAGAACATTTCAGAGTTATGAACAACCTCCATTCCTCAGGTATTTGTCCAAGACCAATACAGGTTCGAATGAGGATCAAGTGGAAGGAGGGAAATTGAGACAGAGGCAGATTGCAATTCAAAAACAGGTGGCCGTTTATTAATGGGGAAAAAAATCACAACTTGGACTGGGGAGGAGCACTTTTACCAACCAACAATACAAATTCAAACAAGTAACCAACCAGAAATATCACCAGAGCAGTAATATAAAACAAGCTATATACATTTAACAAGGAATCTACAACCAACTAGTTACCAAAAACCAGAACAAGCATGCAAAACTGAATAAACTGTAACAATTCGCCCT